CTTGTCTGAGAAAGCAATATTGACTGAGACAAATTCAAGGTCATTTTCTTTTCTCGGGTCCATCTAACTGCATATTCACTGCAATAGAAGTAATGAATTGTTATTTTAGATACGACATTTAACAAGATAGGTCGTAAGAAAATTGTCTTGAGAAACAGGCTTCATTTGGCTAAGAGCGTTGTGACATTACAATTGACCTCATAAAAAGAATATTATCCTGCTGTTTCTAAAAATGGTAACACAGTGTTAATATCACAAATCACCACATGATATAATTCTACGAATGAGTATGTAGGTATAATGGTGTCGTCTTGCACTGTATAAAAGCACATCTATATCATGTATATAATATGTCCAGGAAAATTAATGAATTTTCAGGCAGACATTTCCACCTTAAGTATGAGGACTTTTATACTACGTCTCCTTGCTACTGTTCTGATTGATAATGGAGACAGCTTGTTTTATCAGTCTAATGTAGGTCTGTGGGAAACATATACAGTACATATAACACAGAAATTAATCTGTATCAATTCATATGATAAATTTATTACTCCGAGATAATGACAGATTGGACCATTTTGATAATGGATGCTAGGTTCACTTGGGGCTCGATTTGTATCATTCTCATTTTTCATTGGTCACTCCATCAATTGATTTTTATTGTATAAGTCTTTTCATTGGCTGACTCAATTGTAGTTATTTGCAGTATTTTGCCGTCTCTAACAAGCTGTGAAATTGACTGCGTATGAATGTTAATATGTTTCATTGATCCCTGTCACAAATTAAAGTACTATTTCATGAATTTCTGAATATATAAATATTACCGACACAAGTCTATATTAAACCATTTATCTGACATGCATACAGAGGCCAAAAAAGCAAACGGAGACGGAATTACTGTATCGCATGCTGAATTGTATAAGGCAAGCATTGAACTCGAAAATAACTGTTTTTAATCCATTTCCATTATCACATATCAATATTTATCCTGGAGCCGCTATACGTTGAATTCGTCTTTAATAGGGCATTACCTTATATTGTTTGGGCATTCAAACGTCTTTATTCCCAGTAATTACAACAATTTTCATTCAGTTTAGATTTATATCAACGACATATACGAAGTACATGTGATGATCACGTGATCACTTCGGAACACAATTAAAGTCTGGAGATTTCTCTACGACAGGATAATTAACCAATCCTAAACTGAGCACTTTCTGACATTGACACTACACCTGAAATCCCCAAAGATTGATCTGGTGAAATTGACCATTTTAGCAAAGCCGTGAAAAGTTCAGAACCACAAAGAAAGAAAAACAGTTTTACAGTACTCAGTTTCCAGATTTTTTCACATCTCTAAGGTACAAACTCAGGTAATTTTGGCAAAATTTTAACTCATTCACACCTAAAGATACATTTAAACTCTTCCAAATCAAAGGTTAAAGTAGTCAATCATGAAATTTCGGGGGTGAATGGGTTAAAGATATATAACTATGAAAATACAAATGTTTGAGTGTAAGGTACCACACAGCTATGAGAGGTTTGTAATTAAAACCTATCTAGAGAATCTGTGAATCTTTGAAAAATATGATAGAAAAAATTAGGTATCGGAACCATTCTGCCAGTTCAATAGCATTACAGGCCTTAGAGCACAAGATACATGTAAAATGCTGATTAGACCTTGGGAACACAATGCTCCAGCGTGTTCTTACAAAAACCTTTATAAATGTGTCTCAGCTAGGGACTCAATGTTTACTGCTGCTGTACTAACAGAACCGGCATCATTGTGTTGGACTGTCCATGATGTCTGACCATTGAAAAGAAAACCAATGTGTAATCATGCATTGAAAACGGTCCCCAAAGTTATTGGTTTCTCCTCTGGAAGTGATTGTGTAGTACAGCCATTTAAAGGGGTTATCATTTATATATATACACTAACCATTGGTGATTGGATGGCCAGTGAAGCGGGAATAGGCTGCTCCCCAGACATCTATTCTCGAGTATGCTCTGGCGTACAATTCGTTCATCCCATAACCTCTATTGTTCACTACGACAGTTCTCGGAATCACTATTTTCGTAATAGAGTAATACTGATGGACGTATGAATAACCAGTATAGGAGGGAGATGGGTATAGAAACGTTATGCTTGTATACTCGGAACATTCAAATTATTTTCCATTTGTAAGATATCTTGAATGTATTCAACAACAACAAAAAAAAAATGTGACAGTTATGTGAATGACAATATAATGAGGATTGCCATTTAGGTCTGAAGGTCAACTGTCAATCACCAATTCTATAAATAGAACTTGGTGTTGCTTTTTTTGAGAGAATAGATATCATCACAATGACACAGCCCTCTCTGATATTAGACCATTGTTGGAGAAAACAAAATGTATCCAGAATAGAAAACAATTGCATAAGACTGCAAAATAGACCAGAGATATGGTGTGCAAATTGGTATTTGTTGTGGTATACATATATGTAAAAAGTTGGCTAGATTAGTGGTATTTGTTGTATATTTATAGGTAAATATTTGGCTATATTACTGGTATTTGTTGTGGTATATTTATATGTAAAAAGTTGGCTAGATTGGTGGTTTTTGTTGTGGTATATTTATATGTAAAAAGTTGGCTAGATTAGTGGTATTTGTTGTGGTATATTTATAGGTAAAATGTTGGCTAGATTAGTGGTATTTGTTGTGGTATATTTATATGTAAAAAGTTGGCTAGATTAGTGGTATTTGTTGTGGTATACTTATATGTAAATATTTGCTAGATTGGTGGTATTTGTTGTGGTATATTTATATATAAATATTTGCTAGATATGTGGTATTTGTTGTGGTATATTTATATGTAAAAAGTTGGCTAGATTCGTGGTATTTGTTGTGGTATACTTATATGTAAATATTTGCTAGATTCGTGGTATTTGTTGTGGTATATTTATATATAAATATCTGCTAGATTGGTGGTATTTGTTGTGGTATATTTATATATAAATGTTGGCTAGATTAGTGGTATTTGTTGTGGTATACTTATATGTAAAGAGTTGGCTAGATTAGTGGTATTTGTTGTGGTATACTTATATGTAAAAAGTTGGCTAGATTCGTGGTATTTGTTGTGGTATATTTATATATAAATATTTGCTAGATTGGTGGTATTTCTTGCACATAGCAATCAGGATGGTGGAATGGAAAAACAACCCATAGATCATTCTTCAAAAAAGTCCAGGGAAGCAAATACTTGCTGTGAGGGGACCACTTACCCCAACGCTGTAGTTATACATCTTGTGGCTCTATTAGCCCACTTAGCCAAAGTATTTTTTACCTGTTACGACCTGAAGCAAACTTACAGTAGCATATCTCAATGCAATCCAAAAGGAGAATCGGAAGTTGAGGACAAAATAATGAATAGTTCTAGCGCTAACAATACTTCTTTCTGATATTTTTGGATGATTTGGTATATATGTAGTACACTTCTTTCAATTGCTACATATCTATGGTTGCAGGTTATAGATTTTGTTACTGGAGTATACATACCTGCTAACCCCTGAATCTCCCAATGGGGGTCATAATCCCCATTGGGAAATTCATGTCATGTCATGTCTAAACTAATCATTTAATTTTCGTGCCGTCATGGCATAACATATGTTGTGTCTTCTGGTAGGATTTAGGACCTTTTTTTTTGTTAATAAATAAAACAAATCTTTTCACACATTTTGTTTTATTACATTCTCTCTTTTCAAAATACTTATTTTCCTGTACATACAGGTAGTTTGAGTTAATTGTAGAAAACTTTGCATCTTTCATCATTGATGCATTACTGGGAACATGAAATTCTGTCTTGTCGTGTTGTGATTCTTTGTCAAGACTAGACCCACCTCATTTCTCAACAGATTTTCATCAAACTTTTACAAAGGTTTTCAGAGTCCTAAGGTCAATGTCAAGGTCACTATAAATATGGATACAGTCAACGACAGGGCAAATGGGGCATTTGTATTTTACAGATATTTTCTTTTAAGAAATTCAGAATTGACAGCAACAAATTGCAAGTCTCACTCGGTATGTTATAGGTAAGCTTGGCAAATATGCCTACTCCTTACCAACCCCATGCTAACCTATTAGGCACTGAGGTAGCTCTATATCAAGTTATGTATAAAATCAGCACTGACTTTAATCCCCGGGTTTAATATGTAGAGGTTTAAACATTACATCATGTGTTTATATTGTGTCTATTCTACAAGTATTGCTCTTTCTGCTGTAATGGCACGACGCCAAGCAAAGCTGAAGACAAAGTGGTTTATGCAGAAAGTGTTGAGTAACATATTGCGTTACACGGCGTATTAGTTGTCACAGCTTCTCCCGATATCACAACTCTAAGCCCACGTATATTGTTAGACAGAAATATTGCTTTGCTGTGAATGTTATGGTTTCAAATGCAATTCATTTTGTCAAAATAAAAGCCTGGGATCCCATTTACTCACGTTAAATACTGGTAAATGGTAGACAATTTTATGATAATTTTCATTTGTCATATATGAATGGGTCTGTTTGACATGTTCTATAGTGTACATGTAGGAATGAGATTTTAAAAACTGATATTTAAACATTTTGATGGAAATGTGGAATCTTTTTAAAAAGTCCTTGCATCAAATTTGTGTGTGTATTATATATTACTGGTATCAGACTCAGGGTTTGTGCGTCATTGGGTCTTTAATAGCCCGGCGTTATCGGGCCTTCAATGGTTACTTGTTGCCACTTTTAGAACTTTTTCCAATTTATCATCTATATGTATCAATTATGAGTTTTGTGTTGAAAGTGTCTATTATTCAAAGTTTTTAGTTATTTAGCGAATTTATTTCATTTACGAGCCTGCCAATCTTATTTCTGTAATCTTATTTAAAATATGTGACCTTGATGATAACCTTTGATATGTATTTAAGGAATAATGACATGCATTCTGTCCAAGAAATACGGCCTATATATATTGATGAAAGTTACCATGATATTTGATCACCTTTTATCACTCCCGAGTAGTAGTATAGGGGACCTTTTATCACTCCCGAGTAGTAGTATAGGGGACCTTTTATCACTCCCGAGTAGTAGTATAGGGGACCTTTTATCACTCCCGAGTAGTAGTATAGGGGACCTTTTATCACTCCCGAGTAGTAGTATAGGGGACCTTTTATCACTCCCGAGTAGTAGTATAGGGGACCTTTTATCACTCCCGAGTAGTAGTATAGGGGACCTTTTATCACTCCCGAGTAGTAGTATAGGGGACCTTTTATCACTCCCGAGTAGTAGTATAGGGGACCTTTTATCACTCCCGAGTAGTAGTATAGGGGACCTTTTATCACTCCCGAGTAGTAGTATAGGGGACCTTTTATCACTCCCGAGTAGTAGTATAGGGGACCTTTTATCACTCCCGAGTAGTAGTATAGGGGACCTTTTATCACTCCCGAGTAGTAGTATAGGGGACCTTTTATCACTCCCGAGTAGTAGTATAGGGGACCTTTTATCACTCCCGAGTAGTAGTATAGGGGACCTTTTATCACTCCCGAGTAGTAGTATAGGGGACCTTTTATCACTCCCGAGTAGTAGTATAGGGGACCTTTTATCACTCCCGAGTAGTAGTATAGGTGACCTTTTATCACTCCCGGGTAGTAGTATAGGTGACCTTTTATCACTCCCAAGTAGTAGTATAGGGGACCTTTCATCACTCCTGAGTAGTAGTATAGGTGACCTTTTATCACTCCCGGGTAGTGGTATAGGTGACCTTTTATCACTCACGAGTAGTAGTATAGGGGACCTTTTATCACTCCCGAGTAGTAGTATGGGGGACCTTTCATCACTCCCGAGTAGTAGTATAGCTGCCCTTTTATCACTCCCGAGTAGTAGTATAGGCGACCTTTTATCACTCCCGAGTAGTAGTATGGGTGACCTTTTATCACTCCCGAGTAGTAGTGTAGGTGACCTTTCATCATTCCCGAGTAGTAGTTTAGGCGACCTTTCATCACTCCCGAGTAGTAGTATAGGTGACCTTTCATCAATCCCGAGTAGTAGGATAGGGGACCTTTTATCACTCCCGAGTAGTAATATAGGTGACCTTTTATCACTCCCGAGTAGTGGTATAGGTAACCTTTTATCACTCCCGAGTAGTGGTATAGGGGACCTTTTATCACTCCCGAGTAGTAGTATGGGTGACCTTTCACCACTCCCGAGTAGTAGTATAGGGGACCTTTTATCACCCCCGAGTAGTGGTATAGAGGACCTTTTATCACCCCCGAGTAGTAGTATAGGTGACCTTTTATTACTCCCAAGTAGGAGTATAGGGGACCTTTTATCACTCCCGAGCAGTAGTATAGGTGACCTTTTATCACTCCCAAGCAGTAGTATAGGGGACCTTTTATCACTCCCTAGTAGTGGTATAGAGGACCTTTTATCACTCCCGAGTAGTGGTATAGGTAACCTTTTATCACTCCCGAGTAGTGGTATAGGTAACCTTTTATCACTCCCGAGTAGTAGTATAGGCGACCTTTTATCACTCCCGAGTAGTAGTATGGGGGACCTTTCATCACTCCCGAGTAGTAGTATAGGTGCCCTTTTATCACTCCCGAGTAGTAGTATGGGGGACCTTTCATCACTCCCGAGTAGTAGTATAGGTGCCCTTTTATCACTCCCGAGTAGTAGTATAGGCGACCTTTTATCACTCCCGGGTAGTAGTATAGGGGACCTTTTATCACTCACGAGTAGTAGTATAGGGGACCTTTTATCCCTCCCGAGTAGTAGTATGGGTGACCTTTCATCACTCCCGAGTAGTAGTATAGGTGCCCTTTTATCACTCCCGAGTAGTAGTATAGGCGACCTTTTATCACTCCCGGGTAGTAGTATAGGTGACTTTTTATCACTCCCGAGTAGTAGTATAGGTGACCTTTCATCATTCCCGAGTAGTAGTTTAGGCGACCTTTCATCACTCCCGAGTAGTAGTATAGGTGACCTTTCATCAATCCCGAGTAGTAGGATAGGGGACCTTTTATCACTCCCGAGTAGTAGTAAAGGTGACCTTTTATCACTCCCGGGTAGTAGTATAGCTGACCTTTTATCACTCCCGAGTAGTAGTATGGGTGACCTTTTATCACTCCCGAGTAGTAGTGTAGGTGACCTTTCATCATTCCCGAGTAGTAGTTTAGGCGACCTTTCATCACTCCCGAGTAGTAGTATAGGTGACCTTTCATCATTCCCGAGTAGTAGTTTAGGTGACCTTTCATCACTCCCGAGTAGTAGTATAGCTGACCTTTTATCACTCCCGAGTAGTAGTATGGGTGACCTTTCATCACTCCCGAGTAGTAGTATAGGGGACCTTTTATCACTCCCGGGTAGTAGTATAGGGGACCTTTCATCACTCCCGAGTAGTAGTATAGGGGACCTTTCATCACTCCCGAGTAGTAGTATAGGGGACCTTTTATCACTCCCGAGTAGTAGTATAGGGGACCTTTTATCACTCCCGAGTAGTAGTATAGGGGACCTTTCATCACTCCCGAGTAGTAGTATAGGGGACCTTTCATCACTCCCGAGTAGTAGTATAGGGGACCTTTTATCACTCCCGAGTAGTAGTATAGGGGACCTTTTATCACTCCCGAGTAGTAATATAGGTGACCTTTTATCACTCCCGAGTAGTGGTATAGGGGACCTTTTATCACTCCCGAGTCTGATGTTTCAAGGAGAAAATTGTTGGTGAGGGAACACTAATGAAGTCACAATTAGGCTCACCACATGTGTAGCATCAACACACATTAATGCACATGTGTAGACATACTTACCTTACCTTTGAAAGTGCAGGCCTACCTGTACATTATACCTATACTACCTGTATATATATTTCTATTCGCCTACCGGTATATACCTATACTACCTGTATATATATTTCTATACGCCTACCTGTATATTATACCTATACTACCTGTATATATATTTCTATACGCCTACCTGTGTATTATACCTATACTACCTGTATATTATACCAATACTACCTGTTTATATAAGAATTAAACTGTATTTCTGGAGCAGTACCTGATTACAAGATGTGTAAAATTCCATCAGCACAATCGAGGCCATCTGGTAATTTCACCTGGTAATCTGCCACAAAGCAACGCCAGGGTGCGATAAGTAGGGCAGAGACTATATGGTTCCTGAAGACTTCTAATAATGAAAATAATATTTAACCCTTGTATATGTACTTACCAGAGAACAATAATCTCGAAATAGACCAATCTTGGCTTGTTCTCTGTGTATTGAGCGATGACATTACATTTCAATTATTCATTCAGAAGAAATTGCCGAAAATAATAAGACCTCAGTAGAGCTTCCGTTTCATGTCAGCCCGGGAAACAAAATGTAAATTGTTTTGCTTTAGAACTAGGAAAATTCTTATGTAGATTGCCTCTGGTATATTGAGACGTTGTCATCTAGGCTACGAGAATCCGTGTGGAAGAAACAGGTTTCGTATTTTATTATTCAAACAAAAGATAATTGTTAATGTAGCATAAAACTTCAAAGGCATACTGACTTGCAGACTTCAGTGTCGTAGCACTTTTAAACATGACTTCAGTTGTGCTGATGGTAGATCCATCTTCCGTGTGTTTGCTAGATTACGGAGAACAAAAATATACTCGGAAGATGGATGAACCACTCGAACGCTTTGAACCCAAAAAAACAGCCGTAATGTTGAAGAGGAAGATTGTGGTGTGTTATATTTTACCCGATGTTTACATTATAAGAGGGGACTTAATATCATTGGAGTGAAGTGTTATTTATTAACCCATTTTCTCCAGTAACCTAGATCTTGTTCACCCTCTAAGAAGACTTAATTATAAATATCTATTGATAACAAACAATGGTGATAAAAATTCAGCCTCTTAATATTATGAAGACCTAGATCTCTTATTTACACCTTTAATGCATTCTTAATCAAAAACATTTGTTCCACAAATTATGCTTTCAAAGGACAAATGTGAGATTTAACAGGTTCAATAAGGAATGTATATAGTGGGACAATATTGACTGATCAAAGTTCACATTTAGACATGATACGTCATATATAGGTTTTTCTGGCTTAATACCAGCTTTAATGCCATCTCATTTCATACCCTTACAGTTTAGAATGACCTTGACAGTGATAATTGTAACTATCACATCTACAAAAATTAGGGATTTTATAAAATTCAATTCATGTTTTTGTATTGTTAAGATGACCACTTTTCAGCATTGTCATCATTACCAAGATAAAATTACCTCTTGAAGGCTTGTAGAATAAAGCCATCGGCTAAATAAGTGATCAAAGTTGATTGGCCTGTATAAAATATCCACTGTTAAATGTATTTCCATTTAAATGTATGTTTCAATCAAAATATATTGGTCAGAGGAAAGCTTGGATAATCTGGCTAAATAGGGGGTAGGACTTTATTTGCCAGTATCCATTGTTATGCATGAGGTCTGGACTTTCCATGTATTCCATGGAAAGTGACCAATGATGTATTTCATCATAAAAATGAGTTGACCACACAAAACCTTTGACAAGGAAGCTGTTTGACCTGATAAGGGATCAAATTTATTTTCGCTTCTGCATAATGTAACAGGAAGGGAAATTGATGGCCTGACCGAAACTTGAACCTGTGACCTCCCAACTCTAGACACTCTGAGCAATTAAGCGACATGGTCACTGTCGATCAACTCAGTCCAGTTTTACTGCATTCCTCTCTCCTTCAACAAATTCTTCAAATCAGCCCCCAATGATACTGGAGACCCTATACCAGCTTCCCTGGATACATTTAGTTAGTCCCTGGATACATTTAGTTAGGTGCCAAATGTAACGGGAAAGGACAAATATAATGACTAGAGCAGTATTCAAACCCAGGTCCTCCGAACACAAGACAGACACTCTAACTTATTAAGCTACCTGGTTGCCATTGACTGTTCGGCTAGACATACTTAACTATCGATATAATGCTTCTCATTTCATTAAAATTTTGCCACCTCATTTACCACCAACACATTTCAATGTCCCTTTTCTCGTTTTCTTATGAATTCCTTCATACATTTCCCTCAATTTATCGCCATACCCCTTTATAATGCCAAATATTTCTGGACGAATGGTGGCAGTATAACAAGGTTTTATTTTATACAGATGCATTGGGTCATAAAAATTTGTATATTCTGTACACATGACCTTCATTATTTATCATCTTAAAGATTAATTGACAGAAATATTTTAACAATCTGAAGCGACTCAGTCCTATTTTGCCTCTATTATTATACCTGGACTAATTGTAACAAGAAAAGTATTGTATCACAATGTTTTGACCTCAAAGAATCTAAAATAAAAGTGGAATTTTCACTGAATTTGAATGGAGATAATAAGTACACAAGCTATATGATATTTCGGTAATTTTATGCACAGTGTTTTTTCGAAGGCACTATAAATTTCAACTCATTTGTATAATTACTATCAAACACTTGCAGACTATTTTTTACTTCCACATTGATGTCATAGTCATTCCTGCTACTTATACCGCCGTAGGTCAAAGTGCATACCGAATCGTCATCCGCCACTTATGTCTAAGATGAAATGCACTTTACAGGGATTTAGGTCAACAAGCATGTAACCGTGATATTTTGTTTGATGTTAGAACATTTTAGGCATACTCATTATCCCAACCCCCCTTACTAGGTTCACTAGAGTGGGAATGGATAAATGGGAAACAAGGTTGTTTATAAGCTATTTACAAAGCTAGGTCATTGAGAAGCAATGAGAAATATTGAGATACATTTTCCTCTAAGAACAGGTTTTTTCGATGTTTACTTAAAAAACTAAAGCTGTTTCTTTGACCAAAGTTTTTGTGGTTAATTCCTCACAGTTTCTTTTGCGATTTATCTGTACTAGTCTGAGAGTACTAGGTTTACTGATATTCCATTACCAACAAAAGTGCACATCATATTTTTGCAGCTGTGTAGAGTGGAGCAGTTTGCCTTACAAGGCAGTATTCCATTAGACCTTGTTAAAATAGGGGAAAAAATGTTGTGAACTTAACATTTGTACACTATATTTTCACAGCTGTGTAGATTGGTTGCAATTTGCCTAACAATGCAGTGTACCGTGACAGCTCGCTGTACTTGGGAAATGATTGAGCAATTCATAATGGCAACCCTATGTGATATAGATTTGTAACGTAAAAAATAGAATTCTGTTTGCACAATAACAAAGCAATTGATTATTCATCATATCATACTGGTATATTGTGGACAAAACATGGATCCATCACTCTACAGTTTAGTAAGAGAGAGAGGGAAGTTTATTAGAAAGCTAATCAGCACAGCAAATATCCAACAGTGGCAGCTAGCCCTGAAAGTCACCGGCTCTATAGCAAACAGGTTGTAAATGAGATTATTCAAACATATTGATAGTCAACAGTGTAACTGATCCTTCATTTGCACCAAGCCAACTCTATATTTAAATATAGAATGGCTGTGCTAGGGAAATCTAGCCAGTGGATGCAGTCATTTAGCATGCAAACAAGAGGTAATTTCAAAGTAACTTACATCATTGATTGGTTTCTGGTGTGGAGTCAACTGGGCCTATGAGAGGATGCGGATACATATATTCCAGGCTTCAAGAATGGCTTCAACAGCCAGTTTTGGTATAGGGGAGGATATGGGGCTACAGATATAGCTTTTTTGGACATAGGGAGAATATGATTGATTGGTTTCTGGTGTGGAGCCAACTGGGCCTGTTCCAGGCTTCAAGAATGGCTTCAACAGCCAGTTTTGGGAGAGGGGAGGATATGGGGCTACAGATATAGAATATTTTGGACATAGGGAGAATTGTATTTTCATATTTTCAACAGTCATTTTCAGAAGACGACAGGAAAGGACACCTTTCTGTGGCTTCAACAGCCATCTTGGTAATACGTAATATAGGGAACTTTGTGTCTGCAACAGTCTTTTGAAAACATGACAGGAGGGGGGTGGGGGTGGGGGTACCTCTTAGTGGCTTTGGCAGTCATCCTCAGATAGTATGTGAAGACAGAACTTATTAGATGCTTCGAAAGCCATCTACAGAAGATACAGCTATTCTGAAATTATAATGGAATTGACATATATCTGTTGATGGTTTCATAAGTTCAGTCTAAGTTCTGGCTGGAGGGGAATGGGGTGTACATTATGATAGCTTCAACAGCCTAGCAATGCCCTGCTAGTCATGAAGATGACCCTATCATAATGGCTTCAACAGCTAAGTTGAAACTCTGGGAGAAGAGGAAGATTTAATATAATAAAATGGCTTCAACAGCCCAATCTAAGGCCCTGGGAGGGGAAAAAAATTAATGTGCAAGGAAGGGAAATTTGGGTACATCATGAACAGGCTTCAACAGCCAATATCAGCATCTGAGAGAAGGAGAAGATATATAATTCATGATGACTCCAACAACCTAGTTAGGGCCTTAGCTGGGATGTTTGGAAGATGATGTGCATCATAATGGTTTCAACATCCCAGTTTAAAGCCCTGGGAGGAAGGAAATATAGCTTATATAATGGATAATTGAGGTATATCTCATTGGCTTCAATAATAGAATGTAAGGCTTACCGTGAACTGGTGATGGATTGGGCAGATATCAGAAATGGAAGAATTACGATCTTTAGCCACAGCCAGATTTTAGCACACAAAGTGGGGGTGGAGGAGGTACG